TTGGGAAGATATTTAAGACAACACATTTGTTTCTAGACAAACTCAAGCCATTTCACAGTATTTTAACCATTTCTCTTAACCCTGATCAGGTAATGTATTTAGCTAACATTGTTAAGCAACATAAGAGTGAAACCCTAGGAGTAACCACTCGTTTTGTTATGGAATGTCTCTGTGCTCAGCCCTTCCAAACTGTTGAGAACCACTACAGATGTGGCAGACAATGAAAAGAAAAACCACACTCCCACACAGGCACACAACTTGCAAAACAGGAAAGTATCTGCTCCACCCATCATCTATAAGCTATGCTCATCAGGACCTGAAACCTGAAAGTCACTCAGGAGAAGGTTTTGAACACCATGGGTGGAGAACCACTTAATCCACTCAGAAAGCACAATTAAGTCAGTTTCAAGGGAGGAAGGAGCTCACACTGCCCCAAAAGATGGTACAAACCATCAGGCAAGGAAGGAAGGAGTCAATCCAAGAGAAGTTGCACTGCACAAGGTTCACCTACTCGGATGTGTGAGCCCACTTGTGTGGCTGTGACTATCGGGCGCTGCGCAGTCCGGTACGGCGCGAAGGACTGAACAGTACAGGAAATTACCACTCAAGCACAACGTGAGGAACAACTTACACAGAGCAGCTAAGACTATTAAAAACCATTAAAAGCATTTTTGTTTCTATTTGTGGTAAACATTACACAATCACAATGAGGTTTCTAAAACAAGCACTACCTTAGGGCTCTTTTACTAGAGAATGCAACAAAGTAAGTTCTGCTTTTCTTAGTTAGAATTATCCTATCGATTAAGTTTGGTAATTGCTACAAAAGTACCACAAGAGTTCTCATGCTGAAAAGATGAAGGAGAAAGCTTTAAACAATTGCCTCATGCCTTGGAAAACATCTTTGACCAGCTCACCTCGGAACTGGACCCAAGAGAAGCACTTAACTAGGTGCTCATGGAAGAGAAGATTACTTCTAAGCTTTAAGAATACAAATTCTCTTATTATTTCATGAATCAAATCCCTAATCTTAACAAGCATTTTGGACTATAGAGCTATCTGTGCAATCTGCAGAGTGCTACAGGAAAAGCCTGTAAGAGAGGGGGCAAAAAAGTGTTGAAACTCACTCTTATGGTTTCAGATGCAAAATGGCCTTCATTGATCATCTGATTTCCAGTCTCATCCAGTTTGATGATGGCCCCTGAATTGGCCTGCACCTCAGCTTCAAAGGCTTGGTGCTTCTGCAGCTTCCCCTGCAAGCAAGACAAAGCACACGGCTGAGATTCGGTGCACAGTCTCCTCCACCTCCCCCAGCATCAGCGTTTGTCCTGCCTTTTGTGCACATTCAGTACTGACAAACAAACCATAAAGCAGCACAGGTGGAATCAGCTGTACCATGTGGTTCCTGGGTGGACTCAAACCCCCCAATATCAGTTACATCATTCCTGTGCTTGCTCTTGCCCCCCAGAGTGTTCAAACACCTCGGAACACACCAGCTAGCCCCACCCACAACAGTTTGTTTTCTACAAACATCTTTTCTTCTGTGGAAAAAATAAGTGATAATTCACATTTATTCACAGAGCCAAAGAGTCCAACAAATGCCAGGATGAAGCAAAGCTGGTTTCACACTACATTAGGCAACTTTTTTCTGTGCTGATGAAGCATCTAATCCATTATTAGCAGCATTCCAATTATACCAGCAAGGAAACCAGGCTTTTGAAGAGCACTTTACAAGGTCATGGGTATTTGCATCCATCTTGGCTCTTCACTCTCAGTCTCATTTCTGCATTTGTTCTATCCCAGTTGACCTGCAATGCCCTAAAATTAACAGTACAGGAAACACAACATGGCACTAGGACTTGCCTGCAAATTGCTCGGGTCTTTGTAATTTTCATCAGATGCTATCTGCAGTTTCTCTTGGATCCATTTTTCCAGCTCATCTGCATCACGCTGGAAAAACTGGAATCGGTAGGAATCCTCAAGTTTTTGGCGCCTTAGAGAAGATAATTCCTTGAACTTGTGGTAATGGTCCAAGACTTGCTGACGCCTTTCTTGGATATCTTCTGCTGTTTCCAACACTTTTACACCACTCGGATCCATTTTCTGAAAGCCAAAAAGAAGCACAACATTATCTTTGTCTTGTAAAGCACCAGAAGGGCAGGAAGAGATCCATGCAAAGAAAGGTGCTCTGTAACATCACGTGTGGTTTACTTACAGTCTCACTGTGTGTTTGCAGGTTGGGATACAAAATATCAATATCTTGCATATAAATACACACTTCTAGCAGGAAAGAACGGGAAAGGAATATTGACAAAGACATTTAACATGTGCTTGGTTTGGACCAACATGGCTGCAGTCGTGTAAGGGCTGTGTCATCCCAAATTGTGCCATGCAAGTGTCTGGTGCAGGTGTTAAACATGTGGTTTGTGCACACGTGTAGGTACACAGGCATAAAAGATTCCTTGTACAGCACACACAACCTGGAAACATCTTATTGAAAGTACTCAACACAGATAAAGTAAGGATATTGCTGTTCTGTGAACAGCAGTTAACTGGTCCACATGGACCTCTATGTATTTTACACACACATCTCTGATGTGTCTCTGCTTTGTTCTTTCAACTGAAACAAGCTACAAACACAACCTGCCACTCTCTACATAAACTTTCAAAAGCCATGAGAGGCTTCAAAGATCTGACCTCAGCCGAGCAACTCAAGGAGCACCTTGTATAAGCAGTGATCTCACTCTGACTGAACATTCTCCTACATTGCTTTCTATACTAGACACTGATATTGTTCCCACACACAGCAGAGACCTGACTACTGCTCTGCTGTA